GTAAAAACTTCAATTGAATTTCAATAAAGTTAAAGGCATGGCCTCACCGCTAATATTTAAAAAAAAAAAAAAAACAATTAATTCATATTCCATGTTGTGTTCATATTTTAATTTAATCAGGTATATAATATTATTAAAATATAGTATGTTTATTTTTATTTTAATAAATTAATTAATTAATTAATTAATTAATTGTTTATTTATTTAGAAATACATGACATACATTTGATTTATTTTTACTTATTAAAACTTTATTAGATAAAGTTAAAGAAATATTTAATCACAATCCAGCATGATATTACTGATATACTGATCATTTACATTTTTGTGATGCAATAAATATAAAAAAAATTTTTTCTACTAAAACTAGATAGAACTTCTGATTTGAGATGATTTTATATACTAAAGATTATCTTGTTTACTGACTTGAATTTTTTCAAAATGAAATTGAACATGACAAAACTGAAGCTTTAAAAATTATTTGTTCTTTTCTTTCTGATTTACATCAATTTGGTTTAATTACAGTATATATTAATTTTATTAGTATATTTTCTAGAAAGTTTAAATCTACTTTAAATTTTTTTTAACAAGAAAAACCTATAATTCTTTATATTAAAGGCAGACTTTAACAACTTACAAATTTTATTGAATCAAATGTAAGAGTTACACATTTTGGTTTACAAATAGATGAAATTATTACTAGAAATGGGTTTCAACCATCTGAGTTCTATCTGATTTTTCAAAATGCTTTTATTAAAGTTTATTAAAATTTGCAGCATATAATCCTTCACATCCTGGTAAGCTGTTTTTTAATGCTTATCAAATGTTTAATCCGAAATTTATTTATACAGGAGGAGTTAGTCAAAAAAATCCACGACAGTATGAAATTATTCCTGAATTAAGTAATCCATCAGATGTTCTAATAAATGAATGGACAATTTATTGCAATTTACAGGATGATATAGATGTTGAAGAAATTGACGTAAATGAATATTGGTTAAAAGTTAGTAAGCAATTACTACTTTTATCCCAAATCGCTCTTGATTACATTTGGTTACCTATTTCTTTATGCAATATAGAGCGAAGCTTTTCAAAATACAATACAATTCTAGATAGCAATCAGCAAAATTTATCAGAAGACTCTTTAAAATGGTTAAATATGTTGTATTTTAATGGTAAAATTAGTGATTAAACCTTTATTATTTTATTATAATAAATCACAGAATACATATATTCATTATATAATTATCGCAGAATCTTTAAATATTTATCACGGAAAATGTGCAGAAAAGGCAATTTTTAATGCATAGAATTTTTGCAGAATTTGATTTTGTCACGGACGGAATTGGTAATTTATCACCGCAGAAAATCATCATCCCTGTCCTGGGGTAGTTATCGAGCACTAAAAATTTTTGTAACGTAACAAAGAAAAATTTAGACTAACAATAAGCAATAAATTAAACATTTTATTTATTTCGAATAATTCAATAAACGTACAACCAGAAAGTATTATGTTTAATGGTTTTTGGAATATACCAGTGCCTTTTAAAATGAGTATAATTCTCCAATTTATGCAATAACACCATGTATGTTTTCTTCAACAATTTTTTGTTGCTGCGCCCTGGATCAGAATTATAAAAACTTTTTACTCAAATAAATAATCAGCGTTATAATCTTCTAGAGGAGCATTAAAAATAAAATCTACAAGGTTTTCTGATGCAATTGCATTTTCTTGATTAGTTTTTATAATTTTATTTCGATTTTCATTCTTTTCTCGTTTATTATTGGTGGAAATTTGGTTACAGTAATCAACTTATATTTCTAGAATAGTGTGTTTATTGGATTTTATACTTCTAGCAATCGTTTTACTTTGAAGTATCGAAGAAAAAAAAATTACTACAATAATGTTAATATTTCATGATCCTAATCATGATGATTTGACATCACATGATTTTCGAAATTTTTTGCTATTATTGTTATACCAAATACTGCGAATACTGCCAAAAAATCATTCGGCTAATTTTTGCCAGGTGTCCGAGAATTTTTGATAACAGCTGTAACAAAAGTTTTTTTTTACAATGAGTTCCGCCCGCACCTCTAATATTCATTTCGTGCGCATTAATGCGCATTTTTACCATCTTTACATACACAACATATTTTATACTACGTGTATCGATTATAAAAATACATATGAATATACTATGATAGTATTATTTAATTTATAATTGTAACATAATGTGTAATTTTTTATGAATAAAAAATTCCAGAATGCGGACTACAATAATTACAATAATAAAATGACAATTACTACAACTACGCTAATACCAATCTTTCGAACTAATAAAATTAAATAGTTATAATTATTCAAGTTATTTAAACTATATTTGATGAATTAAAGTATTAACCCATATATAATTTTGTGTATTTAATGTCTTTCATGACGATGTTGAGAGTGGTTGTAAAGGAATAAATACTCCTGAATACACAGTAAATTAAATAATTAAATTAGAAGGTTTATTAGAAAATTAATAAAAAATTAGTACTTTATCTAAACATAATATAGTAACTTTAGGTTATTATACATATACGTACTATATCAACCATTTTAAAGTCTCTGTATCAAATGTCGGGTCTAATTGATTTAGTTCATTTGATTAATGTACAATATCTATTGTAAATTATAAATTCCTCTCTCATGTAAGCCCCCTATACCACCAATATAAAGTATAAGATTATCTTTCGATATAGCACTATAAAATATACAAGTATCTTTGAATGGGATATTGAATAAATTTAATGTTGGCCATTTCATCATTTTTGTGTCAAAAATATTGATATCGTTATAAGCAGTATTATTGCTTGTTAATGTTATGCTTGGTATATTTCCTCCATGTATACGTCTTACAAATGTACTATTTGAAATTATAAATATCAGGAATTGTCCATTGTAAATTAGTGAAATTAAAATGATGGCAGAAGCATGAAGATTGATGCATTCAATTGGCTCTTTGACAATCCACCCACTAAGTAAACAGTGGACCTTTCAATAGAGAGACATGGATAGTAAAAAGAAGCGGAATTGGAATTAATATATTTAATTGACTTCACGGAGGTGAGAGTATATCAAATCAAGATACAATATTTGGTTAGTAACCACTGAGTTATTGATCTTTCCTCCAAAAAAGTAAAGTTTTGTCCCAATTAACACACTAGATTGTTCAAGTCGACCATCGAAACTAAAACATGCCACACTTGTGAATAGAGATGGGACACTGCGCAGGCATTTTTTGAGGCTGCGCAGTGCAATTTCATAATTCTGGCCAGCTGGCATAATTCTGGCCAGCTTTATAATCCAGGTTTGAATTACCAATCGGAAATCGGTT